TCTCGGCGGAAATTCAAAATATTCTCTCTCTCTCTCTCTCTCTCTCTCTCTCTCTCTCTCTCTCTCTCTCTCTCTCTCTCTCTCTCTCTCTCTCTCACACACACACACACACTCTCTCTCTCTCTATCTATCTATCTATCTATCTATTTCTCTCGTGTTCGTGTGTGTGTGTGTGTGTGTGTGTGTGTGTGTGTGTGTGTGTGTGTGTGTGTGTGTGTGTGTGTGAGAGAGAGAGAGAGAGAGCATGTGAGCGTGTTTGTGGCTGGGGAGGTGGGGGATGCGATTTATTTTGTGCCTGCTTGTGTACATGCTAAGGAATAACTATTTAGACATGCATTACATACAGTACTAGGGAAACAAGAAATAAGTACAGTCGTATAGATAGAAAGACAGCTTTAAAAGGTGTGAGGGATGGAGCGGACATATAAAAAGGATTAAAAGACAAAAAAGCACAATAATTATGTTTTCAAGTACGAGGTCTGTCCCAAAAACAAGTTTTCTACTTTAGTAAAAATCAAAATTTTAAAATATTTTTACAGGCGTTTTCTTGTCAACATAACACAATTGATCCCAATGCACGTTTTCATGCAATGTAACCAGTGGTCAAACGCAGCGATTATATCCGTTTCGACCAGTCTTTGCCGGAACAATTTCTCCCTCACCTTCAAATCGCTGCCTCAATAATACTTCTTTGATTTTTTTTCTTTGGTGAGGTAGAGGGGAATTAGCATTTGTGGTATTTATAGAAGTACCTGTGCCCCCAGGGTTCTACTCCTCTCTCCACGACCATTTCCAATTGATTTGCCACTGCTTAGCAGCTTACCCCCGGATTTTTATTTGAAACTGATTCCCCGATCCACGAACCGGGGTCGTATTGTGATGGGTATGAGGACCTACACTAAATATTTAGTGCCTCCCAGTACATTGAACAGTTAAAAAACAGATACCGATACCGCCCCCCCCCCCTTTCCCACACACACAACCACAAATAAACACACATACAGAGAGAGAGAGAGAGAGAGAGAGAGAGAGAGAGAGAGAGAGAGAGAGAGAGAGAAAGAGAAAGAGAGAGAGGGAGAGAGGGAGGGAGAGAGAGAGAGAGAGAGAGAGAGAGAGAGAGAGAGAGAGAGAGAGAGAGAGAGAGAACACTTCCTGCCCCGGCGATTATTTTTAAATTATTTTTTTAACACAGAAAGGTATGTCCTTGAAAAGATTTTGTGCAAAAAGACAGCAGCAACAAGACTTATTTTACTTCTGTTCGTATTCGACCACCCAGCTGAACGGTAAAGTGCAGCCATAAAAAGGTGGCACTACATTCAGATAAGCCTTGGGAGTGGCATGGCGCGAATACTTCCGAACCCACGCATTCTCTAACGTAAGTGATTACCCTGATTGATGAGAATGTACGTTGGGGTTTTCTTTGGTTTGCTTCTAGTGTTTTGTTTTCTGTTGTTCTTTTTTACTTTGTTGAGGAAATTGGGCTGATGGTATTTTGTTGTGTTGCTTTTCTTTATGTGATACTTTACACAAGAATGGGTCGAATTGGGTGTCACGGACATTTCCTCTCATTCGAAAATTTTAAAAGTTGAAACGCAAAGAATTGCAAATCAACATATTACAGTTTGCCCGCGTCAGCCTTCCCACCATAACACTCAGAGGACACGAGTTCGATTCCCTCGTTTGAAAGTTGTTTTTCTCGGAGTTTCGTTGTGTCTTCTAGACTGTTGTATCCAATAGCTCTGGTTATGGCATGAAGGCGTGGTCGAAGGCTGACTTGTTTGACAGGGTAATCAAAGTGAAACGGGACCAGATATGGCCTGGGGATATCGCAGAAGAACCTTGCTCGAGGCGGCGACTCAGAGTTGTGAATGAAAACAAATCTGGAATTCATTATTGTATGTTCAACCGCCAAAATAATCGGGAAAGTATCTCATTAAATGTCAATTTCAATTAAAATTAAATTTAACTTTAGATGTGAATACACAAACACAAAGCAAAGAAGCAGAGATGTCAGTACTAGATCTATATGTTATAGATCTACCAGGGAGTCTAACTCTTTGGTAGAACATGACAATTATCATTAAAAAAATTTCACATTTGGCTGTTTTTTGTCTAGCCCTTCGAGGCTACGAGCATGTGTCATAATCGAGGTCACGATCTGATTATAGGGCAGTAAAAAGTGGAGGAAAAAAAACAAGCTCTCGCAGCAGTGAGAGATTATTAGGAGTTAGTTTCCCTCACATCTGTGAGGTAGACTCGATCAGTGTAATAGTTAGCTTACCTAATCAGTGCTTGAGACTGATTATAACTGTGGCCCGAAAGGGGTGTACAGGGTATATGTGGCCATGAAACAGTTTAGACTGCTATGCACATGTTCCCTTCAACTATGTTGGTAGACTCTTCTAGTCTCACTTTAAGCTTACTTAATCAAAGCTTGTGACTGCTTATGGAGTGGCCCAAGAGGGGAGAACAGGCTATTTCTGTGGCAATGAAACCGTTTACAATGTTAGGCATACTGTTCATTGTTGATTATGAACGTCTATTTACATTTAATTTATGAAGTTTACGTTTATGGGTGAATTTGACTGCGACAATGTTTCAAAATTAGGAAGGGAAGCAGTGATTATTTGATTATATAGACGCTTCGCCTCTGGTCATTATTTACAGATTTAAAACTCCAGCACTTTATCGTTGGTAGTTAGGAATGATTGGACAAAAAATGGATTTCTAACTTAATCTACCTGCTCAAGTCACTACAATGTAAACGAGTATAACTATCAAGAATCAACCCATGTTGGATCTAATCTAGTCGGAGCTGCTTCTAGAAATAGGTACACTCGAGACAGCAAGTGACAAAGAGTGCCAAATACAGACTGGTGCAAGAAATCTTACGTCTTACAAGGGGCCTGTAAAGAATGATAACGGTGATTGTGTTCAGAATAGACCAGACTTGGAAAAAACAGACGAAACATAAAGATTGCCAGAAGAACAAAAATATGACTATCATAAAGGACAGAGGGTATATTGACGCAAGCGCTGCTTCTCGAGAGCAAAGATCCAGTGATAAATGATAAAGATGAGATCAAGACAGTGAAACAGACAGGTACTCAGAGATGAGGAAGATTAAAAGAACAGACATAAAAGATATGAGATAGAGAAGCCACGAGAACAAAATACTTATTATACATCGTTCGACTTTTACCCTCCCTCACCCACGCCCAACCCCCCGCTCCCCAACCTCTCCCTTATTCTTGTTTGGTTAAATCAGATAGTAATATTATTCTGCCTAGTCATTTATTTTTAAATCCCTCAATTTAGTTAGCAATGATTCTTTAAAAATTTCAAGACTGAAAAACAAAATAGGAATAGTGTAGAACATAAACACTTGTTTTACTTTTCTTTATCCGTAGAAAGACTTGCTTGTCTGCTATGACGTTATAATAACATCAAAATCCCATTACGGTTTTAAATAGGATCCTATTTCTATTACGACATGACCTTTCGGAATGAGTAATAATTCGATGAGAGTCATTGTGAGAGCACCAACAATTCTAAGAATGTCACAGGGTCTTTAAGGTTACTCGAATGGGAAACCATTGTAGGGCATTTATGCCATTCAGCTACAGGATGCCTCTGGGAACAAGAGTCCAGGAACAACTATATTTGTTCTTTAAAAACGTATTCTGCAATTCCGTCATAGATTTTCTGTGTATAGTCCTAGCATAAGATCGTTTCATTTTATGGCCAAAATAAAGGTAAAAACCAAAGGTTATGACAAAAAGAACAATAGTTTGTACACTGTCACTATAGCATAATATGCTCAATTTTTTCTTTTCTTTCATGTCTTCAGGAAATGGGAAAGTGTTGTATTGATTGCAAGTAGTACATGTATATAGCAATTGTTATCATGTTGGATGTCCCGCTAACAACAGAAACGCGTGGAGCATGCCAGTTGATTTGATACATCTGATGTTGAGTTAAAGCTACCTTCTTTTTGGGGCGATAATAACTTGATGTTATTGTGGCTTTTGGTAAACACAAACCTAAACCTAATTAAAAATAGAGAATAGAAAAAAAATCCGTCTTGGGTTCGGAGAAAATGTTAATGTTCTATTTTCTGACGTTGGTGCTGTAAACACTTACTTAAGCACCAAATATTGTTTTTATAACATGACATACCTTTTAACTACAGTATTAATCGCATGACAGGAAAAGCGAAGAGATAAAATACGAGATACTTTTACTCAAGCAAAAAGGGGTATCTTTTAATTTGATCGCCAGTATATTATTATCATTATTATCGTTATAATTATCATCATCGGTATTATTTTCGTTATCGATATTATTAGTATTATTATTATTGTTATTATTATAGCTTTTGTTGTTGTTGTTATCACCACCATCATCATCATCATCATCATCATCATCATCATCATCATCATCATCATCATCATCATCATCATTATCATTGCTATTATTATCATTATTACTATCATTAATGTGGTTATGATTTTATGATCATGAAATGTTTGATATTGTTACTCGTATTGTGGTTAACACTATTACTAATTTTATTATTTATATGACCATAATTTATAGTATGGTTCCTATTGTTGTTATTGAGAATATTGGTATTATCATTTTACCAGTATAATATTAGCAGCAGTAGCAGCAGCAACAGCAGCAACAGCAGCAACAGCAGCAACAGCAGCAACAGCAGCAACAGCAGCAACAGCAGCAACAGCAGCAGCAGCAGCAGCAGCAGCAGCAGCAGTAGTAGTAGTAGTAGTAGTAGTAGTAATAGTAGCAGTAGTAGTAGTAGTAGTAGTAGTAGTAGTAGTAGTAGTAGTAGTAGTAGTAGTAGTAGTAGTAGTAGTAGTAGTAGTAGTAGTAGTAGTAGTAGTAGTAGTAGTAGTAGTAGTAGTAGTAGTAGTAGTCCCATCATTATTGCCATTACGTCAGTATTGTTATTATCACTCTGTGTCAGGTAGTATACTTACTTCTATGAGCAATATAGAAACCACAGCAACACTGGCATAGTGAAGCTTATGAGCTATCTCCATGTCCTCACTGTGGTGAAACTCCAGTCTATATTTGTGCAAGATATCTTGGTCGCTCACATGTTTGGCCCCTTTTCCTTCTCCTTTCCCAGCGCTTTCCACAGTCAAAGGTGCTTCTGCATAACGGGCAGGACCTCCGAGAATAGGCCCCGTCTCGTTAGATTGCATAGTTAGAATTTTCACAATCAAACCCGTCAGTGATGATAAATATGTTTTGCCATTATTTTTGCCGTAGTTATTTTCGAAGAAGTCAGAATTGAGCACTTCATCCTCCAACTCCTGAGAATTGCGAGACGTATCCCCCGCCTCTCCACTGTCAGTAGCTTCATATTCAGCAGTTAGGCCACCTGTCTCCTCCGAAGACCGCTTTCGACGTCGAGACAGTTTCGACAAAACTTTTTCGATTTCCAAACGCGTCCGTTCCAGTAACCTGGACAATACAGCGCTGCTGTCCCTGAGGGAATCGTTTCGGTTCGATCGACGAAACCTGCTATTGGAAGAATAATTCCTCTTCTGAATCCACAACGTTCTTAACGCCCTCGAGAAATTCCCCACCCCCAGAGGTGTGTCCGACGAGAGGGGCCAGCCCTCAGCCACAGACTCTCCACCGACCACCGGAACGGACGTGGGTGTGGTCACCGAAGTGTGAAGAGCGTCACGATTTTTGTGGTGGTGGTGGTGGAGGTTCCGTTCGAGATCAGGGTCAAGGTCGTGACCTCTGCTGTTCCGAGTGTTGTTCCAGACGATATCGGCGTGGTTGAGCTCCTCGAAGACGTCTGTGAGGGAGTGGAGGGGCGCCACCTCATCCGGGTACTTCTTGATGATCTTCTCCACGAAGCTAAGAGTCATCGCCTCCGTGGCGCCCTGTGTCTCTGGGGAAAAGAGGAAGAGGAGTTTATAATCATTTGATAAGAAAAATAATTGATTCATTGATAAATGAACACACTGTCTTGTTGATTGCTTGATTGGTTGATTGTTTGGTTGTTTTTTTGGTTAGTTGGTTGACTTGTTGGTTGGTTGGTTGGTTAGTTGGTTAATTAGTTGGTTGGTTGGTTGGTTAATTGATAAATTAGTTATTTGGTTAAATGGACTAAGAATCATTGCCTCTGTTGCACAGTGTGTCTCTGCAGAACATAGAAAAAGGAGGTTTCGATCATGTGGTTTGGGCTATTGATTTTTGGTTTAGCAGATTGATTTACTAGTACATTGACTGACTCATTGAAGGAATGATTGATTTATTTGACAGTGAAGACCTCCGTGACGCTCGCCCTGATGATACGAGTTAGTGAAAAAATGATGACACGATACGTAATTGATCAGATGAGGAGAGGAGTGAAATTTCGAAGGTTGATCATTGGTTGATTAGACAACGTTTTGGGATATTTCTAATTGGACGTTAAGGTGGGGAGAAAATGAGATTTTAGAATAATTTAATATGATATTAATACATTTAGACTATTGTAATCTTTAAACGCACAACGTTCAGGAACATCTGTCGACTCGAGCAACACGGCTGTTTGACACTGTCCACCAAGTTCCAGACTGAGATAAAGGCGAGCCAGTGAAAACAAAATATAAAAGCGGGATTGGAGACATAAGTGACACAAGCCAGTGAGATCGGGTGTGCAAGAGGAAGAAGGCAAGGGCAAAGAAAGTGGGATACACACAAGCATACACACATATGTGTGTGTGTGTGTGTGAGAGAGAGAGAGAGAGAGAGAGAGAGAGAGAGAGGGAGAGGGGGAGAGAGAGGGGGGG